GAGTCTGGCCATGATTATTGCCTTCGTGTTCGCGAAGGGCATCTCGCGTTCGCGAAGGCCAAGCTAGGCAAGCTTCGCGTTCGCGAAGTGTAAAATAGGACAACACAAATTTGTGCTTTGCGAAAGCGAGGCACTGACCGCGTTCGCGAACGCGAGGCACTGACGGCGTTCGCGAAGGGTAAAAGTCCCAGAAACATAACTTAAGTTCTCGAAAATGGGATTCATCCCATTTTCAACCCTTTTCCATTTTTGAGCTCGGGTAAGGCGATTTTTGTGCGATTTTTATGGGAAAACATTGGGGGTAAGTGTTCCTTATCCTATATTGATTATATTTCATGATTTCATACTCATTTATATCATGAATCCGTGAATTTATGAAAGAAAAATCATATTTTTATAAAATTTTCCAAAAATAAAAATTTAAGATTTGAAGGTCCATTTGGCATCGGAATTGGATAATATTTGTATGGTTGGACTCGTCTCGGAATGGTTGTTCGAATTTCGTAAGTTTTTTCGAGATTTGAGACGTGAGTCCCACTGCCGAATATTTTAATGAATTTCGGATTTTTATCCGAAAAATTTGTAAATTCATATAAAATTAATTCTTCTGATTCGTATTGAGTATATCAAATTTTTTGTGAATAGATTTGAAGCTTTTGAAAACAAATTTAAAAGGAAAAGTTGTAGTCGAGTAATTGATTGGAATTTGCAAAGTGATGTAAGTGTCGTGGTTAACCTTGACTTGAGGGAATAGAACCCTTAATTTAATTGTTATGTGAATTGCATGTGAACGACGTATAGGCGAGGTGACGAGTGTCTATATGTCGTCAAATTAATTGTTTGCCTGCTTACTTGAAAAATCATAAATTATTTTAAATCATAAATTATTTTAAATCATAAATTAATTACTATCATAATTATTTCTCTCATATTCTTTGTCAAATATTAATTCTTGAATTCCTGCATTAATTGTTACATGCTATTTGAATTATGTGTTTTAATTGTTATTTGACATTTAGCATATTAAATATTAAACTGCTTATTTTCTCCCTTATTTCATAATAATCTGCTATTTGTCATTGTTTGTTTCATAATTAAATTATAATTATTGTATGCTTGTTGTCTTATAATTTTATATTAATTATTGCATTTATTGGGGAAGTTTCTTCTATAAGAATTGGTAAATGAATATGTTGGAGGAGCGGGTTGCACGCCGCAATAGAATTAATTATAATGAATATATTGGAGGATCGGGTTGCACGCCGCAACAGACTTATGAAAAGTCCATATTGGAGGATCAGGTTGCACGCCGCAACAGACTTAAGAAAAGTCCATATTGGAGGATCGGGTTGCACGCCGCAACAAACTTATTTAAAAGTCGACATACATATATATATTGGGAGATCGGGTTGCACGCCACAACAGATTTGATTAAAGGAATATATTGTGAGAGCGGGTTGCACGCTGCAACATAATTGAATGTGAATATATTGTGAGAGCGGGTTGCACGCTGCAACAGAATTGATGGAAATGATAATTGGTTATGACTGCTGAGTTGGCTTCAATTATTATAAATGAGTTACCTGATTTATTTCTATTATTNTGTTGTTGTTACTAATATTGCGTACAAGTAATGTAAGTGACCCACGTTAGCCTTGTCACTACTTCGTCGAGGTTAGGCTCATCACTTACCAGTATACGGGGTCGGTTGTACTGATACTACACTTTGCACTTCTTGTGCAGATTTCGGAGTTGGTTCCAGCGGCGTGCCATAGACTTGCTCGGATTTCAGCTATTTAGAGGAGACTTGAGGTATAACTGCATGGTGTCCGCAGTTCTGAAGTCCCCGTCTATTTTACTTTAGCTGTTCGTTTATTTCCAGATAACTTTATTTTATTCAGACCTTTATTTGTATTATTCTAGAAGCTCGTGCACTTGTGACATCAATTCTGGGATGGTATTTAGACACCGTTATTTTTATGGATTATTTCACTTTATTTCAAACTTTTCTTTCGCTTTTGGTTCCTTGATTTTTAATAATGTAAAAATTGTTTAAAAATTGGTTAATACTGTTCTAACGTTGGCTTGCCTAGCAAGTGAAATGTTAGGCGCCATCACGGTCCGAAGGTGGAAATTTCGGGTCGTGACAGAGGCGGTACCTCGGGAGCTCCCCGATACATATTTACTTTTGGGACTACGAAGCGGTAACTCGGGAGCTCCCCTGTTGTGTATTTACATTTGGGACTACCAGGAGATACCTCAGGAGTGCCCCTCTTGTTTACCTCTATTTACTGTGTTGTTACCTTTCTGTAATTCCTCATTGTTAAATTCTTAGTCGTTTCATTATATTATTATATCTTTTACCTTGTTTCCTTTTTATTCTAGTAGGGCCCCGACCTAACCTCGTCACTACTCTACCGAAGTTAGGCTTGGCACTTACTAGGTACTGTTGTGGTGTACTCATGCTACTCTTCTGCATATCTTTTTGTGCAAATCCAGTTCTTCCTACCAGGCCAGACGCCAGTGAGATAGCCTGTACGTGGAGATTTCAAGGTACATATGCCAGCGTCCGCAAACCTCAGAGTCCCCCTCTATCCTTATTATGTCATTTTTCATTATTGTATTTAGACTCTAATGTATAGAGACACTTAGTATTTTCTCTTAGAATCTTGTGACTTATTTCTACCTAGTTTTGGGAGTTGTAATTATTTGAATCGCGGATTCTATTTATATTTCATATGTTGAGGTTTGAGTTCAGCTTATATTCTATTATTCCGTACAAATGTTAGGCTTACCTAGTCATAGAGACTAGGTGCCATCACGACATCCTACGGAGGGAAATTTGGGTCGTGACAGACTTACTATAACACAATGCCTTATTGATAATCAATTGTATTCCTCCAAAATAGTAATAATTGGCTCTTCTAGAGCTCTCAATTAATTTTGTACTATCATATATTCATCAACATCTATATGGTGAATTTCTCTCTCAAAGAGAAAGTTATACCATTATGGTCATGGTCAAAATTATATGCAAGATCTACTTATTGCATTACTGTTGTCCTTTAATAATCACATTGCCAAAAAATTTTGGCGTACAATAGGTACGCGACCAATGATCATTCATGTCATAATAATGACGTTATTTTCTTTTTTCCTCTCAAACCTCCTTCTAGAGGAGAGTAGGGGTATATTCGCTACCACTAGCACGATTATATTCTTTCAAGAATGAATGTGTATTCATAAATCACATGTTTTCACATTTACACCATGAATGGACCATAATCATCTATATGTTCTTTACAAAATCTCATGTCAAATCAACGACAAACATTACTTTCACAAAGTGGAGGATTATTTTGAGAATCCTTATTGTTCTCATTACCATAATAATGACAATTATAATTTTATCTATTGCCACGTCCACATCCACATCCATTGATACCTTCACGGTAATAATTTTGTCTTCTTTCAGACTTATCACATACTCCTACCACATTCTCTTTAGGGACGAGAATGAAGCAAATTCAATGGGACGGGTTTCCACTTCTTGTGCTCACAATCATACATGAATTTGATCATGGCAAGACATAAAAATTTTACCACTTTGGGTGATTATAATTTCTTACAAACTCCATTAGAGTTATAATCAAAATTTATTGTCTTTGCTTGTATTTAAAATCAAATTATAGAATTTCAAGAATTTAAAAGAGAAAAATAAGGTAAAATACTTATCTTTAATCCATAATTTATTCCTCAAGGAAGTTCATGGAACAATTGACAATCATGATGCTCAATATTATGTACAAGTTGAGCACCATGCCCGTATCCCAAAGCCTGGTGATCAACGAAAATGCCTCTAATTAATTGGTTAGAGTTTCGTGTTGATACCGTGTTATAAAACAATAAAAGAAGAAGAGTATTGCGTGAAAAGTAGAGATAGAAAATTCTTATTGATTTGAGATGAATTACAATGGAATGGAACCCCTCTATTTATAGAAAAAAAGTGACTTAGCCACCAAATAACAAATCCTAAAATCTCTCGAAAGTATAGACATCCACCATATAAAATACTATTTATAACAAAAATAAATTAATAGTAGATCCGCTGGTGATTATGCGGATCAGCATACCAAATAAAAAGGGATTATCCGTAATCGTAATAACTGATCCATATCTTTGACTATGTAATTTGTAACAACACAATCAACTCTGAGCATGATCTTGTTTATTTTTATTATTTTTTGGATGAAAATCATTTTCTATCTCCCAACTTTACCTTAAAATCAATATCCTCCCACAACAATGAACAATTGACATTTTCATTCTCCAATCTTAATATCCAGTCATTGACCATTAACATTTTCAAACTTTTTGATATACTAATGGAAGAAAACATATCATATGTCGATGCAAAGTAAAATTCAGTTGGTAATGAAAGTAAAATAGATTTCCATTTCTAGTGTGACTTAAGGGCCCGTTTGCATAAAAAATTCCTTTTTTCGAATTTTATTTTATTTTGTTTCCAAAATCAGTGTTTGACCATGAAAATTTTAAATTTCACTTAGAGGTTGAATTTTAGAATTTTTCGAAATTTGAAAAACTCCAAAACGTTGTTTTCCAAAATTTTCACTTCAAAACACTCGCAAAAATTCAAAAACAGCTCCAAATTGTATTTATATCCAAACACAACTCTAATTTTTAAATAACATTTTCAACTTGAAAAAATATTTTACTTTTTCCGAAATTTTACAATTATTATGTCCAAACGCCCGCTTAGTTCTTTTGACAGTGAAGTTGAAATATGGGGGTTATTTATCAGCCATTGCAAATTAAAGACGCAGTTGGAGTTAAGGAACGGATAAAAATCGTTCAAAAATGGTAATTAGGGAAATAGGTGGACCATTTTCGTCGTTTTCTCATCATGCAAATTATAAAGAAAAAGCAAAAAAGAAAAAAAAGGAGTTAAATTCCTATTGGACAGTGGGCTTAGTATAATTTTCTATGCAGTCCCTCCACAGGTATAAATAGGTAAAAATAACACAAGGCTCAACCGTTCTGGGTGGCTTACTTGTTTTCTACTTCCAAAACTCTGCTGCAAAAAGGTAACATCAATTGTCATCTGGTGTTAATCTTTTTCTGTTTTTGTACATTGTATTATAGTGGGTCACGATCGATTGTTCCTTGATTCTTGTTTTGTTTTTTCAATCTGAGCTTTTCTTGATTTTGCTGATAAAACTATCTCTCCTTTTTTTATGTGTTTTTTCAAGGGGTATAGTTTGAAGAAGATGGGTAGACTTTTTGTGATCAGTCTTGAAGGAAACATCTATAGATGCAAGCACTGTCACACCCATTTTGCTCTTCTTGATCACCTTATTTCTAGGGTATATATCCTTTTTATCTATTTATCTACATAGTCCATGATTGGCTTGTGTTGTTTGTGTTGTACTACTTTACACTTGTAGGCTTGTGATTCTGTAGTATCCAACCCTTAGGATCAACTGCTAACGGGCTCGCCCCTTTACCTTTCTTCATTTAAATACTAGGCTTAGTTCTTTGTGGAATCCTTATTTGATTCTTACATTGTGGGTTTTGTTTTGGATTTATTAGTTTCTTTTCATTGGCTTAGAAATCCATCTGGGGCTAACCCTTAGGACCAACTGTGCCCTTCAAAACTCGGGGATAATGAGTCCGCTCCAGTACGCTTCTCCATTTATATACCAGGCTTAGTTCTTTGATGAGTTCGTTTTGATGGGTTTTGTTTTGAATGTATTAGTTTTTTCTTGTTTGTTTTTGTGTTCTTTATACAATTGACATTTATCTTAGGCTTGAAGGAAAATGATTATAACATTTATATCCTTCCTTTTTATTGTTAGGTCTAAGTACCAAACTAGTTGGGGTCGACAATGTTGATCATATGTAATCCAGATGATCATCTTATTGATTAATGTTTCACTGATTTAACCAGATCGTCAAACTACTGTAATCCTCCTCTTTTATCCGCTTTTGAAATAGACTATAGTTTGTACATAGGCAGAGGTTTTTCCTTTTTACAACTTTTGGTTGGTTTATTTGCAATGTCAAGTTGTTACTTTTCCGCTAGAAGGAATTTTCCTCTTTATCCTGTTTTAGGACTAACTATACGTTCTGCATAGGCTGAGTTCTTCCTTTTTATAACTTTGGGTTGGTTAATGTGTGACGGTCAACTCGTTACTTTTGTGCTAGAAGGGAATAACGGTGTTTAATCTGTACTGCAAGTTCCATACTGCCTAATGAGCTGCATGAAACTTGGTACATGATTGCAAACGGAGAACGAATTTAATTCTCTAACTCGGTATATCTTTTCCACCTGGAACTCTCAAAATGAAAAAAGAAAAAGAAATTGTATCTACACAGGGCACAAGGTGTGGACTGGGGAAAAATGTTGGCTGAACATGGTCCAGGTTGAAGGCCAGCAGGTGCCCATGGCCGTGCCTATTCTTTTAATCAGTGGATTATATGGTGGCTGAGGGTGTGGAACTGCTGCGATCAAGATCTTTAGGTCTCTAGGGTGGGAGGAACAGTGATAATCGCTGCACTCATCCCTGTCCTCTAAGTAGCATTCAATTTTTTGGGGAGTGCATAAATACTTCTATGGTCCACTTGTCTGCTGTATCTAATTACTCCCGTGGTTGTGGCATCCTAGTGCCTTGAGTTTTGGAGGGGTTCTAAGCTACTCCTTATCCTAGTGCCTTGAGTTTTCAGGTGGTTCATAAAATTGTCCTCTAAATCAGCCTCTTCTTGTAACAGGCGTGTATGGTTGTCAGTTTCGTGGAGAATTGATCATCCATCTTTGTGGTTTCTCCATTATTTGTTCGGTGTTTGAAATTGTGTACAATTGTGCCTTCTTTACTTTTATTATGTGTTTTTACCAAATCCTTTTATCTCTGCTTAGTGTGGGCCTTAATTATCTTAACTTATCCTAGTAGCCAGGTTATCCCTACTGTCCAAATTTACATAGCACTTTTCTATTTTGGTACGTCCAACATATTTTAAACCACTCTACGAATAATATTATTCTACACAACTGTCGCAATTGATGTAGATAAGTTCCAACTTTCACAATTTTCAAGATTCAAATTCATTCACCTATTCAAATATTAAAGTTTGGGTGACGTTTTCTCTACCAAGGTGATACCTTTTTCTACTATCAATGTAATGCAAAGTCCAATTAACATCTTAAATTCTATATCCAGTCAAACTCTGCACAACCATATTAGATGGTTGGAGGGATTATTTACTTTTGAATTCCAAAAACTCCTAATGTGCATGCTATTTGTAGATACCTTTCTTTCACTTTGAATTGATAGATAGAAAAAATGATGTTCAGCAGGATTTTGTTTTACGTAGAACAAGCATCAAGGAAGATGAAAACTATGTAATAGAAAGTTGGGTGGTGCACATGAAGTCTGTGTTGTGGTGTCAAATTGGGACTGGACATAATGGACTTTCATCGCAAGTGTTTCTTATTTAGTGTTTTCCTCTTGAGTTTGGACGTACAACTTTGAATGGTTTAACTTCTGGCTTAAATATAGGAGCAATCGGTAAATATGTTCTTAATCTATCATACACTGCACCTGTTGGATGATATATGACCTTTGCTTCAGTATATGTGTCCAGTGAGACTGAAACTGCTTCATTAGACATACCAACCTCGTTTTCTTTTTCTTTATGTTAAGTAGGCATATCTGCTATTTCATATTAAAGTGTTATCACTCAGCCTCAGCGGACTTGACTATTTGGAAACTTCTGGTTTATACAACTATGTTTTCTGTGTGGATTAGCTATTTTGTGACAACGGCACATGCATATGTATCCTAACCGGCTTTTCACCGTTTTTTCCAGTCATTCCAATGCAAGCATGGGAAGGCTTACCTCTTTGATCGAGTGTAAGTGTTCAATATAACCTGCCATTTCAGATGGATTTTCTATAAATAGGTGTAAATACTTCCCCATTACTTTAATTATTTCTTCTCTCTGCTGGGATTTTGCGGTAAGTATTTGACTTCCTGGAATGTCTTATCCCGTCTCAACAAGAAAACCAAACTAACATATCTTGGATGCTATTTTGCGGAATGTCAGAAAATGTGCCTAGCCACTATATCCTATAGTTCATGCTTTCCGCTTACGAGAGTGTACATTATGTTCTGCTCCTTTATTGGCATCGCAGTGTGAATGTTACTCTTGGAGAGAAAGAAGAGCGGGCAATGCTGACTGGAATGCACACTGTTGTTGACATATTCTGTGTGGGATGTGGCTCTATTGTGGGGTGGAAATATGTGAGTCTCCTTTTCACTATTTCACGACTCTGTATTAGTTCTTCACTTTTTATGTCTAGCTAGCACGATTTGTTGTACCAACAGCGCTTGAATAATTTCAGGAAGCTGCAGAGCAGAAAAGCCAAAAGTACAAGGAAGGGAAATTCATCCTTGAGAGGTATCATCGTGTTTCTTTCGCATTTCAGTTTGGTGTTTAATCATGTCACAATCTTAACCTTTTGTCATACACAATATTTCACTTCAGTATCTGCAGATAATGGTTTGACGATCAATATCTGCAAATATTGAAAACTTGTTTGAGGAGTATTTCCAGTGAAATAACGGGTTTTTCTCACAAAACGATAATTGTTTTCTTAAGTGAAATTCATGTTTGAACACAAATTCAACATCCAATTACTCCTTTTCAACTTCAACTTCAAATACGTTTTTTTTTTAACTTCAACCAAATATCATCCAAATGCCTTGATTTACTTTTTGGTTCATCCTGTTAAGTAGGTTTAAGGTCTTGGGTCCAGATGGAAGCAGCTATTCATTAAGTCAAGACGCTCAACTTGGAGGAAGTGATACAGATGAACCTTAGAGTAATCAAGTATCTGTTTCAACTGTACATGCCCTCAACTTCCTGCACTCGTCGACACAAGCAATCTCAAATTGCTTTTAGTACAGATACCAGTATCTAATATAGACAAGTTTTGCCAGGATTATTTTAGAATGATCAAATACTTTGACTTGCTTTGATAGGAATCTGATATTTAGCATTGGATTGGCGTCAGTGACTATGAAGATTTTCAGTATTCTGCTGAAGCATTTTCTTCCTTTCCTTTGAAAGTTTGGTCTAACTTTTCTAGTTACATTCATGGATAAGGAGAGCGATAATGAACTTTTATGTTATGTACATAATTTCTATCTTATATTGCAATTATATTGGCCAACTTTGAACTTCAGCATATCCTGAAAAAAACAAGTATTTGTGACTTGTGATATATTTCACCAGCTTATGAGCATTGTAAGTGGAGTTATGGAGTGCTTACAAAGTTCTTGGTGATAATACTAGGTGAATCATGAGGTCTTAGGTTCAAATCTTAGCGGAGGCAAGATACACTAGGTGAATTCTTCTCATCTGTCTAAGCCTTAGTTGCAGAGTTGCCTGGTACTTATATTGGTGGGAAGTAGCAGGTACCCGATGGAATAGTCGAGATGCACACAAGCTATCCCGGGAAAAAAAAGTTGGTGGGAGAAAATATGTAATGAGGTTGTTCAACAATATGCTTGTTTGGCTTCAAAGTGCCTAAAGTTGATGAGAATTTTTTTATTATACATATTAAATAGATTGTAAAAGTAAAAGTTCTTGCATGAGGAAGGTTGTTTGAACTAACTAACAAATTCTAGCATCACAAATGCATTGTTTCCCTAAAAACAACTATAATAGTTTTCTAGAATAAATGCGATTCCATTTCAAATACAATTGTTTCCACACTTTAACAATTACAAAAAACGTGCTTGAAAACAAGTTTTCAAAACCATAATCAAATAAAAGCTAAAAAAAGAAAAAAGAAAATTGTTTTTGTTATAAAATAAAGACTAAAAGTAAATAAACCATAGACAAGTATAGAGAGACTGATATATTATTCAACTTCAAATTGATGTACAAAATAGACTGCTTTGGCTCCTTATTTAGAAGAACGGAAGTTGATGCGAGGCTTTTAAGGAAGCTGCTGCAAGGCTATTCTGGAGTTGCTTGTAAGCTACCTGCATGAGCTATTTGTAAACTTTTCACACAATCTGCAAATCGAGCAATGAATAAATTTTCCATCAATAATTCAAGGTAGCGAATAATAGAGGGTAATTTAAACCCAATATATATTCATAACCTTCTTTGCGGCCACATCTTAATGCGCTATGGTGGTGCTACTAGCACATATACATCACATCAAAAAATTCATAAATAAAATATTTTGTTCATAACTAAAAACTAATTGTGACGAGAGTATTTGTTATAATATGTCGGTCTGAAACGAAGAAATGATGTTGCATGCAAGATAGCATGACCCCAAAGAGTTGTGGGCAACTTTGTTTTCATACGTAATGATCTTGCTATCAATTACAGATATTTAACAAATGACTCTACAAGGTCATTTTGAGTATGAACATGAGCTACAATATGTTCAACTTTTATCCCAGCTAATAAACAATAGTCATCAAAAGCTTGATATGAGAATTTTTCAGCATTATCAAGGTGAATATCCTTTATATGAAAATCAAGGAATTGTGCCCTTAATCGAATTTTTTGTGCCAATAGTTTCGCAAGTGCCAGGTTGTAAGATGATAGTAGGCACACATGAGACCATCAAGAAGATGCATCTATTAGAATCATAAAAATCTAAACAACCCGTTGGGTGGGTAAACATGTTCACATATATTCTCATGTATACGCTCTAAAAAAGCAGAAAATTCAAAGCCAACCTTTAATGGTAATGGTCTAGCTAGTGATCATTTTTTCTTGATAACAAGAGTTACAAGTAAATTTATCATTTGTAAGAATCTTAAGTTCTTTAATAGATGCTTGTTTGAATTTTTAACGATTTGTCTCATTATTATTGATCCAAAATGCTCCCAATCGGCCATGCCAAAACACAAAAGTATTTGAATTAGTAAACTTCTGATTTACACTAGAGTATGTTTTAATTATATTAATTTTTGTACAGTATAAGCTAGAAGATAAAGTTGGTAACTTCTCTACAATATACTTCTAGCCAAAGACATTCTTTGTAATACAAAGTTATTTGCAACATTCATTTAATCTATTGTCACAACATGATACCTATATTCGGCGAATATCTTTAAAACTCAACAAGGTTCTTCAGGACTTGGAAGAGAATAATGCATCTTTCATGATAAGTTTTGTTCCCTTAGGTAGAAATATTGTAGCTCTTCTAGAGCCTTTAATCAAGCTTATATTATCAGAAATTAATAAGGGTGATCGTAAAATCCGAAAAATCCAATTTTGAACTGGACAGAATTAATTTGGTATTTCGCTATCGATTTATTTGGTATTTCAGTACTACTTCAGTATATAATTTTTTATTATTTGGTATTTCGGTATGGCCCTCGGTATTGAGGTTTCAATATTTGGGGATACCGCAATTCCGAAATACTGAATTATTTAAATAAACCTTCCTTCAGTGCCCATCCCAAGTTATCAATTCCCAACCAATGTATTTCAACGTTGTTACTCTTTGCCAGTATCCCAGTAAGACTAAGCCCAATGCCCCAACCTAGGTTTAAGTTTATGTTAAGTATTATGGTTCACTTCCAATCCTTATCATGTAAAATTTGTGCAGTACTTTATATCTATTCTTAGAGGTAGCTGACTTAGGATTATTCATGTTGTAAGAGCTAAGTTTTTGACCGTGAGTACTTCAAATATTTTACCAGATAGGTCATGAGTTTTGTTACACATGTGGAGACGAGTGGAAGAGCAAGAAATCAACATGTTTTTGATCCATCTGTTTTGCACGTGAAGTTTTTCAGATATTAGTCATCAGTGCCACTGCTTGTCACGTTGGAGTGTTGGACAGAGACGGTTTTAAAAGAATTGGTTGTATTTTATATTCTTATGTGGTTCTAATGAATTAGAATTCACCACTGTTTCATTTACAAAAGTTTTGTACGGTATTTGATATCTATAATTGATATATTGGAATACCAAAGTATTGAGCTGTACTTTTTCATATGCAAATAAGAAAAATATTTCTGATTTTTGAATATGATATGAATTGTTCCACTATCAGTCATGCATATGTCTCTATGATTAATCTTTGATCTAAATAAAACTTGAGAGATATTCATATGTTCTTCAAAATAAAACGATATAGACAAAGTAAATATTATAGTAAATATCATTACCAAAATATGGCTTGCAGTTTATTTACAAGACGATAGAACAGTACAAACTAGAACAAGTAACAAAAAATCAAAGTATTTTAGTTCTCACCGATTCATCACTGGTCAGGTGACCTATATTTTCTTCTAGGAGCGCAAAGAAGTGAGCTACATTCAAATACATGAAGTCAACATTATCTCCAGAAATAAAATTTATTTTAGCATTCTTTTCTGTCTTGTTTAGGGGGGTTTGATAAAGCTCAATCATGTGCTTTAGCGTACGACATGTACGTGACTAGTGCCATTTTCCTCCATATCTATATCATGCATTATCTGTATTTTTTGCTTGCACCACTTTATGCTTTTGTTCCTTCCTTATATGGATTTTATCTTCGATGGTGTCTGCCAAATCTATCGCATCAAGATAAATTTCAGCATCAAGCACCCAAAACAAGTAACCTTTTCTCGACATATCAATGATCACAAATTTAAGCTTAGAAAGATGTCAAAATCTCATGTTGATAACATGTTATAAAATAAAGATTAAAAATAAATAAATCAGAGACAAATATAAAGAGAGAGACTGATATATTATTCAACTTCAAACTGATGTACAAAATAAATTATTTGTGGCTCCTTATTTATAGAACAAAAGAAGTTGATGCTAGGCTTTTGAAGCTGTTACAAGACTTTTATGGAGGTGCTTGTAGGGGTGGCAAGTGGGCCGGGTCTGTCTCATGGGTCACGGTCTCGGGCCGGTCCCGGTCCTTAAATAAATTGGCTAAACAGTCTCGGGCTAAACGGCCTTTTTATAGGAATCGGCCTGGGACCGGACCAGGCCCGCAGTCCCAACGGGCTAAACGGGCCAGGCCCGCAGTCCCAATGGGCTAAATGGGCCCAACGGTTAAGCATTGATTTTTTTTTTTTAAAATTAAATAGAAATTAGATACAAAAAAATATTTTAAAAAAATATCTAAGGCAATGCCTTGTAAATTTATTATAGAATTGTGACATAATATTTTAATTCAAATTTAAAGATAAAAATACTATCAAAAGATATTCAAAGCAATGCCTTGTAATTTTATTATAGCAATAAAAAATATGGCAATATCTTGCTTAGTCTTCCTCCTCCCTATGGAATGAGCACAACAAGGTGCTAATATCGCCATTGAGAAGAAAAAGGAACTAATCAAGATGTGCCAAAATACAAGTTACATAATACATATTAATTTTTGTTCATACAAGTTATATGTTATCTCTTACAAACTTCATAAATCCTTCAAGGTTCAGAGGAAGTTTTGTTGGTGGTGGCAGAAAAGTAGCTTGTTCATAGCCGCTTCCATTGTCGGGCAAAGCAGCATCCTCAGCACGTTCAGCTAGCATTTCTTCGTAAGCTTTGTCTTCCTCTGGTTGTGATTCAGCAAGTCCAAAATTTCTTCTTTTCGAACGGATCCAATCTCTGAAAAGTACTGATTTTTCCAAGCTCTCCCTCATAGACGCCATATAATCACCGATTTGAAGTCTTGCTTGATTGAAAGCGCTCTATGCCACTATTGAAGCTTGAATAGTTAAAACGTCTCGGGCCATTCTTGAAAGAATCGGAAAGTGTTTTTCTTTATCCTTCCACCATTGCAAAATATTAAAGGTGTCGTCGGGATTCACTTCCTCAAGTTGCTGCGACAAATAAACTTCAAGCCCATTTAGTTGTGAAAAATCATTACTACTAGAATCAAAAAAATCCTAAACCTCGTCCAAGCACTAAGTCCTCTTACTCCCACAATTCTTTTAAAAAATTGAGAATAAGAAAGAAGAAGGAGTTGGAACATTTGGTCTAGCATGATTTAATACAACTTGATAAGCATTATAAGTAGTTTGAACATTTATTCCAATTGAGGTTATTGCTTCCGGAAGTTTAGGGAACTTATTATATTCAAGTGCTAAACCATTATAAACAGTTTCATACCAAAATTGAGAACCTCCTAATTTCATACAAGGATTTAATAAAGCAGCAACACCATAAATAGGGGGAATAAGGAAAACATATTTTTTAAATTTTTTTCTC